GGTGCCGCCGCGGCCACTACCGGCCGCTCCTCACAGCCGCCCGCCGCGGCGCCGGCCCCGCCCCTGAGATTCTCATTGGCCCCGCTCCTCGCGCGCACCGCCCATTGGCCTCTGCTTGCGCCAATCCCTCTCCGTTTCCCGCGTGCAGCAAGGCGCACAGCCGCTACGGTCGCGGGCCAGGCGCGCGGAGGCGGGCAGCCATTGGCTGGCTGGTCCGGATACGCCGATGATTGGCTGGCAGAGCGCCAACCGGCAAGGGGAAAGCGTACGCTACGGAAACGCTGCGGGCCGTGAATGGCACGGGACGTAAGGCGGCTGATCATGGATGGACGAGGGATAGCTCGCTCATTGGAAACTGGTGGTCAGCCTAGGTGACGGAGACTCCAGGTCAGGGACCCCGGGCCAGGCCGGCCGCTGATTGGCTACTTCTTCTGGCGGTCTTGGCTGGGCGGGGCTATCATCAGGAGCTCGGCGGGAGGGGCCCCCAGCGTTGCAGTCACTAAGCGCCTTAGAGGTGAAGTCGGAGCTCGTACTGTGTATCTTTCTTTGGAGCTATGCCCAGCCTGTGACCTTAACTACAAATGGTTTTGTACTACCTGTTCCAGGAATGGAAATCGTGTCTTTGATTCAAAAAGTTGTTGATAACCATCTTGCAACCCTACTTTGGTTTTAAAAGGTTATATGACCACTTATGACTTACCTTTTTATGACTACTTTGTTTTGCCCACCTTGCAACCACGTCTTTGTTTCAGGAGATCGTTAGGACGTTATGTTCTGCTCCTACAATCTGTCCTATTTTGCCTGCCAAATTCCCCATTTGGAAACCCCGTACCCCTGAGTTTTCTAAAAACCTCGTTTTCCTCACATCCAATGCTGACCTCTCAATTCCGTCTTAGGGGGAGGCAGTACACTTACACGAATTAAAAAAAAAAATACTTGGTTTAATTCATTATTTGCTTTAATTAATTCAGCCATGATGCTTTGGGTTGGTGGCCTTTCTCTTCCCTCCGGGATTAACAGAGTACTATCTTTAATTGACATTCCTCTAGGCCACAGGTGAGAATTTTAAAAAGATTAGAGCAAGCAAATTAGAGTGAATGCATAATCTCAGCCAGAAACGTGGTTGGGAAGAGATATTCCGTTATTGACTTGATAGTAATATAAGAGCACTTTTATGAAATGTTGGAATTGTGCTATATCTGATACTTGATACATGCGCATATTATGTAAAAATTGCATTGATCTGTACTTAAGACTTAAGCACATCATTGTATACTATGCCTCAATAAAAGTATTAATAGTTGATGAGGACGATAACAGCTACCAATCGCTAAATGTCATACTGTAGGCAATGTCCCCCTGGATCCCAATCCCACTGTTTCGCCATTACTGGTTCATGTCACTTGGAGGTCCTGGGAAACCATTTTTGAAGAACTGAAGGACAGAATGCAAGTTCCCTTGGGGAAGGAAGTTCAGGTTTAATCATAAACCAAAATGAACCTAGTATACCTTTACTATAAGATGACTTCTAAGCCTAAAATGGAGGCAGGCTGGCTTTTCACCCTTTGAAGACCACCCTGAGTTTAGTTCCCAAGCACTCAAATTGGGCGGTTCACAAGTTCTTGTCACTCCAGCTCCAAGGGACAGTGACTTTCTTCTGCCCTCTGTGGACACCTGTGCACACATGCACATACACACACATAATTAATAATATTTTTAAATATTTATTTTTACTTTATGCATATGAGTATTTGCCTCCATTTATGGTGATCTTGGAAACCAGAAGAAGGAGTGAGCTCTTCTGGAACTGAGCTATTGTGAGCTCTCATTTGGGTGCTAAGAACTGGATGACCAGCACGGTGGCTTACACCTTTAATCCCAGGATTCAGAGGCAGAGGTGGATCTCTATGAGTTTGAGGTCATCCCAGTCTACAAAGCAAGTTTTAGAACAGCCGGGGCTGTTACACAGAGAAACCCTGCTTCCACAAACATAATAATAATGTATGTGTTTGTGAAATCTTTTGAAAACTATTATCATTGTTTTCTTTTTAAATTAGGTGCGTGTGTGTCAATGGCATGGCAAGTGGGTCCTTGGGACACAGCTCAGGTTGACAAGCTTGGCTGTTAGTGCCATCTCACCGGCCCTGCCTTTGTTCATTTGTTCTGAGACAGGATTTTATAAATTGAGGCCGGCCTCAATTCAATATATACTGAGGGTGACCTTGAATTGCTGTTCTGTCTGTGTCTTGCAACAATTGTGATCATAGATAAGTGCCACCATGCCCAGTCTGTGCTTGCCAGGCAAACCTCTGTCAATGAGCTACATCTCCAGGCCCCTTTTGTTCAATTGTCTTTTGTTTTTTCAAAACAGACGTTCTACTCTGTAGCCTGGGCTAGCCCGAAACTTTTGGCATTCCTCCTGCCTCAGCTTCTGAGTGCTGGGATTACAGGCATGAGCTGCCATGCCTACTCTAGGACCGTAAAAGTGAGATGTACCCCTGTTATCATGCTTCCTTAACTCATACTGCCTGTGAAATCTGTCCTCAGTCTATTTTTAATTTTTAGTGAATTATCTCTTGGGCTGTTGTAAAAACGTGGTTTTGTTTGTTTTCTTGCGGATGAGCGCTGGGTCATTTCCAGTTTTAGACTCTTGTAATGTCCCTGTGAAGATTCTTGTTTCTATGTATGAATAGATGGACATATGTTCCCATATCTGGGGTGTATCATTTGGAGTGGAATTGCTAGGACACAGGGGAGGTATGTGTTTAGCAGCATCACTTTCACTTTGACTAGCGCTAGCTGTCAGAATAATAGCAGTTCCCAGTTTCCCGAGGGTCTACCTTGTGTCATGTAGATTGCCAGTTCGCAATGTGTCGACCTCTTACTTTGCTCTTGAGCCCCAGTTCTCCACAAAGGTTTTTCTGAATCACTTCTACCTTCAAACTCATCAGACAAACCCAATGACCTCAATACTCCTAAGGTCCTATTTATGGAATATCCTATCTCTGCTGGCCTGGAAAACTTGAAGGACAAAACTTGGAGGGCAGAGACTGCAGGGCTTCTTCCTGGAGTCCATACTACCTAGGAGAACTCCTTCATCCCTCTGATTTCACATTTAGTCTGGGAACTGAGCTGACAGTGAGAAGAGCTGCATTTGACAAAAGATTACAAAGACTGATTCTATCACTTAGAAACCCCACGTTGATTTGGTGATTTGGTATACAGGCCACAATGGAGAATGCCAATTACGTACAGATGTGACCAGACTTCTGAAACACTGACCTGATTGCCTTGGTTTACCCTTGTCAGTAAGTTCGCAGACAACAGCACCACTCCTGCTGTGAGAATCATAGGAAAATCCTGAGAAATAGGTACTTTTTTTTTAAAAAAAAAAAAGGATTTATTTATTATATATACAGAGGTCTGCCTGCATGTGTACCTGCACCCTAGAAGAGAGTACAAGATCTCATTATAGATGGTTGTGAGCCACCATATGGTTGCTGGGAATTAAACTCAGGACCTCTGGAAGAAGAGTCAGTGCTCTTAACCGCTGAACCATCTCTCCAGCCTGAAATAGGTACTGTTAACACATCTCTGTGACAGGGAGGAACTGAGCAACAAAGAGCCATTGGCTGACTCCAAACCTGAACACTGCCACCACATCTCCTGTTTGTTGGTGAGAGGGACAACCTGCATGGTGGAAGAGTACAAAGGAGAGGAGAAGACCTCCAGGAGGAGGGCCCGGAGGAGTCTGGAGGGGATGGTGGCCCTCGTGGTGGAGTGGTCGTATGGATGGACTGGAGCCCATCTTGATGCATTCCTCATGCACAGCTGGTTCAGTATATATCCTCTAGTAGATGGCACCAGTGTCATGTCCTCCCAAGTGAGGAACATCCCTGAAATGGCACAGGCAACGATACAGGATAGATGTGACAGTTGATCTTCATTGTTGTCGTTGGGGTTGTTATGTTTTGTTTTCCTTGTCTTTTTGAGACAGGGTTTCTCAGTGTAGCCCTGAGTGTTCTGGAACTCGCTCTATAGACCAGGTTGGCCTCAAACTCAGAGATCCGCCTGCCTCTGCTTCCCAATTGCTGTCTTCCTTCCAAGTGCTGGTATCAAAGGCATGCCCCACTACCTGCCTGGCTCTTGTTTTGTTTTGTTTTCTGAAACATAGTGTCTCTGGGTAGCTTTGGCTGTCCTGGAACTTGCTCTTTAGACCAGACTGGCCTTGAACTCAGAGATCTGCCTGCTTCTACCTCCCGAGTGCTGGGATTCAAGGTGTGCATTACCTCCACCTGGCTTTATTTAAATGTTTTATAAAGTGTCTTACTATGTAGACCAAGATGGGCTTGAACTCATAAGCTTATGCCTCCTGAGTGCTGGTGTGTACCATCACACTTGGGTCCTCATTTTTTTTCACTCTGTGTGTGTGTGTGTGAGAGAGAGAGAGACAGAGACAGAGAATATGATGTATATATGGTATGTATGAGTGAGTGTAAGTATGTGAATACCACAGTGTGCACATGGGGGCTGGAGGACAGCTGTTAAAAGCTTGTTCTCTACCACTGCTGTGGATTCCAGGGATCAAACTCACTATGTCAAGCTTGGGTGGCAAGTGCTTTTACCTGCTTAGCCCTCATGCTTGCCCAGCAGAAGGATTTCTTTTGACTTCCAGGCCAGCATGCAGCTACAGAGCGAAGCCTTGTTTTAAAACAATAGGGCTCAGTGGTAGAGTACTTGCCTAGCATGATAGGATGAGTTTCATCCCCAGCAAAAAACAGGGCATGGTGGTACATACCTATATACGGTATATAT